CCTGAACCCTACAAAACACAAACTTGCTCTCCTTCCTGTAACTCAATGGGTTTGGTTTCTTGTGGTTGTATCAACTCCACTTTCCTTCTGGGCGATTTCTTTTAGATTTTTAAAAAATTTTTAATTTAATTGTATTTATTTATTATGTGTCTACTTGTTCTTGTGCACATGCCACAGCATGCTTATGGGGGTGGGGGTGGGGGAGTCAGAGGACAACTTCAGGAATCTGTTCTCTCTTTCCATGGTGTGGATTCTAAGGATCCAACTGAAGTTTGTCAGACTTGGCAAAGGGCACCTTCAGCCACTGAAATGACTCTTGGAATGTGTCTTGACGACAGCGCAAAGAGCTCTTAGCACTTAGTCTGTAGGCAGTTTCCCCTCGTGCTGGTGTTGAGAGAGTAAACCAGGCATGGTACACACTTGGGATCCCAGACTAGGGAGGCTGAGCCTAGAGAATCATGAGTTTGAGGCTAGCCTGGGCTACCTAGCAGGAGCTTGTTGCTCAGTAGTGGTTGCCTGACAAGGGCAAGTCTCACTAACCAGAAGGGGAAGGAGGAAAGAGACACTCAGGACTTGACACTTGGTAAGCTAGCCAAATGTCTGGGAGGACACTTGAAATAGTACTGGAGAGGATCAGAAGTTCAAGGTCATCCTTGGCTGCAAGTAGAGTTAGAGACCAGTCTGGGATATGTGCGACCCTGTCTCAAAAACATTAAAAATAAATAAATAAATAAATAAATAAATAAATAAATAAATAAATAAATGGATGTTTAACTATGGACAGCTATTCCTAATCCCAGCACTTGGGAGGCAGAGGCAGGTGGATCTCTGTGAGTTCGAGGCCAGCCTGGTCTACAGAGTGAGTTCCAGGATGTAGTTTAGTTAGTGGAGTGCTTGCTAGTATGCACCTGTGATCTCAGCACTCAGGAGGTAGAGGCAGAAGGACGAAGCTTTCAAAGTCATCCTTAGCAGCTTAACAAATTGGAAGTTAGCCTGAGATACATGAGACCCTGTCTCAGAAAACAAAAACAGAAGAAAGAAAGAAAGAAAGAAAGAAAGAAAGAAAGAAAGAAAGAGAGAGAGAGGGGGGGGGGGGGAGGGAGGGAGGGAGGGAGGAAGGAAGGAAGGAAGGAAGGAAGGAAGGAAGGAAGGAAGGAAGGAAGGAAGGAAGGAAGGAACTAAACAAACTAAAACTAGATTGACCATCACAACCCAATTGAGACCCAGATGCTTAAGATGAACCTCCTTGACCCTGCCCTGCCTTCTCCATCATAGAACAGGTACCCTTTGCTCAGCCCTCAGCATTCTTCCCACAAGGCTATGCCTGGGCTTTCCTGATGGTCCACCTCCCAGGGAATGAGAAATGATCCAGGCTGTGATTCAAGGGACTTAAGAGGCCCTTGGGTCCAGAGAAGGCTCTCTTCCACCTTCCTAAATCCACAAGGGAGAGCCGGGAGGATCCTGCTGGAGCTGCCCACACCCTGGCCTCCTAGGGGAGGTGACGAGCAGGGACCTGCCCAGAGGAGGGGAGGCAGAGCAGGCTGACTCAGCATCCCCAGGAAGGGGGCTGGGAGCAGCCATGAACCTGGGAAGTCCCCTCTCTGCCTTCCCTGGAGGCCACTCCCACAAGGTGAGAAAGCAGCTGAGGTTTGACAACTCCATGCCACCTGCAGCAGCTTCTCAGCTAGGTGCCTCTGCAGCATCCTCTTCTTTAGCTCATCTCCTAACCCCACATCATCAGCACCCAGAATGAGCCCTGGCTTCTGACATCTCACAGCAGAGACCACCCATTCTTTGGAACTGGCCACTGGCCCTGGGCAATTCCTATAGTGAAGACAGACATGGGTCAGGTTCTCATTTTCTGCTATTTAAGAAACTCTTACTCTAAGTCTCCTAGTTAACTGCATTTGGGAGTGAAGATTATCCCTCCTTTGGATGGATAGGCAGATGCCCTTACTTCCTCTCTGGGAGCCATGGATGTAACTCATGGGTAGAATGATTGCCTAGCATGTATGAAGCCCTGTGTTTGATCTCCAGCACAACAAGTGTGGTGATGCACACTCAGGCAAAACACCCATACTGTAAAATAAAACAAAAATAAATGTTTTTAAAAAGAAAGAGTCAGAGGCTGGCGGATCTCTGTGAGTTTTAGGCCAGACCGGTCTACATAGTGAGTTCCAAGACAGAAACCAAAGAAAGAAAAAGAAGAGAAAGAAAAAAGAAAGAACAAAAGAAAGAAAAGCATTGCCCAGGCCAAGAGGAAATTTTGCTTTCCCACAAGTGGGAGATTCTCGGGGTGAGTGTGGGCGCAGTGGAGGAGAGCTGAGTAATGGTGGGTGAGTGTGAACGCAGTGGGGGGTGGGGGGTGCAGAGGAGAGCTGAGGAATGGTGGGTGAGTGTGAGCGCAGTGGGGGGTGGGGGTGCAGAGGAGAGCTGAGGAATGGTGGGTGAGTGTGAGTGCAGTGGAGGAGAGCTGAGGAATGGTGGGTGAGTGTGAGCGCAGTGGGGGGTGGGGGTGCAGAGAAGAACTGAGTAATGGCGGAAGAAGAGACAAAGTCCTTCCGGATCCACTATCACAGGAGGAAAGCCTGACAGGACACATCGGGACCTTCTGGTTTTAAGATGGTCATCCAAAAGTGGCACAGCAGTGGGTTTCCTCCTTGGTCTAGTCTCTCTCTACTCTGGGAACCTGACCAGGCCCTTCCTCTCAGGGCCGTTCTTGAAGGTAAAGAGCACAGATCTCAGTCCACTCCATATGTCCACATCTTGGCCTCAGGCCAGTACCTTGGACAGTGATCTCTCTCTCTCTCTCTCTCTCTCTCTCTCTCTCTCTCTCTCTCTCTCTCTCTCTGCCAAGTGTCTGCTCATCCCAAACTCAAAGGTGCCCATTTGGTCCATCCAGTGCCAGCAGGGGCACACAGACAACCATGGCGGTCTGCACCTGGAGAAGAGAACGTAAGCTGATTCCTACTGCAGGCAGGAAGAGGGGCACCTCTGAGCCAGACTAAACAGGTCAGGGGCCTGGAGAGGAAAGGCTCACAGCTACTGAGAACAGGAGCAATCCCCAGCCTGTACCAGGCCTGGCCTTCCTGTGAACATGGCGCCTATCATAAGCAGGTGTGCGTGTAAATCTACCCGCCCAGCCCACAGGCCTTATCCATACCAAAGAGGGAAAGGCTGAAGGAGCAAAGGGCAGGCCCTCCTCTCATGGGGTGCACACGGGGACATGGACTGCACTAAGGGCAGGCATGTGGCAGTGTGTGACACAGGTTTCTTGAGTGTTTCAGGAGATAGGAGAGACCAGCTCTATGGGGAGTAGATCCCAGGGACATGTGGATGGGAACCTGAAAACGGTGAGTTGGGACTGGAGGTGCACTTAATGGGACGTAAGCATCATTTGGGGCCGCCGTAGCCGTGAGAAAACTCTGTTCTTCCCTCATGATCAGTTCCCAAAGAGACCTAGCCAGTCTTTCTTTTAAGTTGTGGTTCAGAGAAGTTGGCTGTGGTAATGCCCATAATCCCAGCAGTAGGAGTCTAAGGATCATTAAGTTCCAGCCTGGACTACATACATAGCCAGTTCCAGGCTAGCATCAGCTACAGAATGAGTCCTAATAGTGAGTGTTTCTGAAAACAATGGTGATAACCAGGTGTGGCGGCCCAGTTTCAATCCCAGCACTCGGGAGGCAGAGGCAGGTGGATTTCTGTGAGTTGGAGGCCAGCCTGGTCTACATAGTGAGTTCTAGGACAGCCAGGGCTACATAGAGAAACCCTGTCTTAAAAAACAAAACAAGCCGGGTGGTGGTGGCGCACACCTTTAATCCCAGCACTTGGGAGGCAGAGGCAGGCAGATCTCTGTGAGTTCGAGGCCAGCCTGGTCTACAAAGCGAGTTCCAGGAAAGGCGCAAAGCTACACAGAGAAACCCTGTCTCGAAAAAACAAATAAACAAATAATAATAATAATAATAAAAAAATAAATAAAAAACAGGGGGGAAAAAAGAGAAAGTATTTGGGAAAATGACTGCATGTGTACTGAACATGTGTGGACTTCCTGCATCCGCATTCTGTGAAGTATAGTGTGACACACTCCACTGTGTTAGTATCACTGTCTTCTGGGTTTGGTGTATACAGAAGGGTAGGCAGACTGTGTGCAAATATCATGCTATTTCATACAAAAGAGCTTGATATCTGCTGTGTATATATGTGTGCCAATGTGCCTGTGGAGGGGGTGTGGTATGGTGTGTGTGTGTGTGTGTGTGTGTGTGTGTGTGTGTGTGTGTGTGTGTGTGTGTAGGCCAAAGGTTGATGTTGGGCGTCTTCCTCTGTCACTCTCCACCTTCGTTTTGCGGACAGGGTCTGTTACTGAACCCAGACCTCACTGTCTAGACTAGCTGTCTCAATGCCCGCTCATCTTCAGTTCTGTGGTTACAGGTGTATGCCAATCTGGTTTTTACATGGGTGCTAAGGATTCTATCTTAGGACCTCATGCTTGCCTGGCAGGCACTTTACCAACAGCCTTCTCCCATCCCCTCCTCACACTTTGAGGACATCTGCTTTTATATCTCGGGGTGAATAGTCCAAAACGGGAAGGAATTAATTTAGTACAATTTTTATGCCCTGCCTTGGAAGCTGGTGTTCCCCCTCTCCCAGACCTGACTGTGCCCCTCCTCAGGGAAGACCAGTACCATCTGCTCTGGGGTCCGTTGAGACCCCTTAGCAACCATCCTCATCCTGTGGTCTCCATCAGGCTCTGTACCCTCCAGTGCCTTCAGAAGCCTGAGCCACAGCCTGAGGGACCTCTGCAGAGCAGGAATGCTTGGACTGGTTTTTGCACACAGCAATTGTGACAGCTTGGCATCGGATCCTCATCTTAGGTACATGGTCCGCAGCATCCTGTCTCTAGGTGTCCCTCAAGGCAGGAGCAGCATCAGACCCAGCATAGATACATAGCAAAGTGTCTGTTTCCAGCGATGGTTTCACTAACTGCCTTGTCTTCCCACCAGGTCCTTGGCTGTGGGGCCCCAGTACTCTTCCCTGAGCACTCAGCCCATCCTCTGTGCCAGTATCCCAGGTCTGGTGCCCAAGCAGCTTCGCTTCTGCAGGAACTATGTGGAGATCATGCCCAGTGTGGCTGAAGGTGTCAAGGCTGGCATCCAGGAGTGCCAGCACCAGTTCCGAGGCCGGCGTTGGAACTGTACCACCGTCAGCAACAGCCTGGCAATCTTTGGCCCTGTTCTGGACAAAGGTACCCTGGGTGGTTAGGGTCATCTCTATGTGGGCATCACAAGGCCTTTCAGACTCCACCTGGCTGGGCTTCCTCCCTCCTCCTCCCAACCAATGCTGCAGGAGAGCCTCTGGGGAGCGGGGGGGGGGGGACCCACAGGGTGAGAGAAGCTTGGAGTGTGTTGGGGAGGAGGGAGGTATGCCAGCCAGCAGGGCTCCAGGCCCCTGGGCTGGTTTGGAAAGGAGAAAATGGCAGGAGGGCTGGGTGTTGGTTAGCTGCCGGCAAAGAGCAAATTATCCTAAAGTGTAGTGGTTAAGGCAATAATTACCATGTGTTGACCTCCAGCTGCTGGGGGTCAGGGGCTGGGCTGGCTCTGCTTCCTGGTGCATCCCATCCACATGGAGGTCCACGTGAGGCTGGCTCGGCACCAGGTGCAAGACAGGGCGCTGACTGGGGCACAGACTTCTTTCTGTGGCTTCTGGGACTCAGGAGAGAGACAGAGACAGAATCAGAGAGACAGAGAGAAGGAGAAACAAAGACATGGAGGAGAAACAGGGACAGAAGGAGAGAGAATACACACCAAATGAAAGCTTTCGTGCCTTAAAAAAAAGGGGGGGGAATCATATAATTTAAATCACTTTAGAACATACAATCTCAGCACACTCAGCGCACCCACAGAATTGCGACATTACCACTTCTAATTCCAAAATATTTCCATCATCTCAAAAGGAAACCCCAAGCCCATTATGCGGTGCCCCTGGCAACCACTGGTCTGCTTCCTACCCCTGTGGTTTTCTTGTTCTGGACATTTCCTTTCGTGTAATTATGCTCTCTGTGGCCCTTTGTAGCTGGCTCCTTTCACTGAGTGTGAGGTTTACAAAGTTCGTCTATGTTGCCACACACATCAATGCTTCGTTCCTTTTTAATGGCTGAATACTATTCCATTGCATGGTGTGTGTGTGTGTGTGTGTGTGTGTGTGTGTGTGTGTGTACACCTTAGAATTTTATATGTAAAATTTTATATGTATAGGATGATGCCATCTGTGAATTTCCTTTTCTTTTATTCTGTAGTCATATATTCATTGTACTGGGTTTTAAGAGGACATTTTCATACATGTATAGAATGTATTTTGACCTGACCTAATTCTGCTGCCCAGGACATCATTCCCCTGTGGAAGCAAAGTGGAGTGGGTAGGCCAAAACCGTGAGCAATGGATGTCCGTGGTTCGTGAGCCACCCAGCCTCAGGTGCTCGCTGCAGAGGCCAAAATGCACTCAGCCCCTTTGTGACCGCCACCACCACCCCCCGCCCCAACCCTGTGCATCTATCTGCTGGATGCTCCCACACTTGAGGTACAGAATGGAACAGCACCCAGGGCTTTGCGAGTCTGGCTTGGAAGCAGGTTCACTGGACACTGTCCTCAAGGAGGGCAGTGTTGCGGAGAAGGGACTGGGCTGGGCACCTGCGGCCGTCTCCTTGTGACCCTGAAGGTGTTTAAAGTCTTTCTTCCAGTCAGGACAAAGCAGAAGACAGCGCCAGGAGCCTTTACTCTGATTCGCTGCCTTCCACTACCAGCCATCTGCTGTCAGTGTGGCTCCGCCCAGTTCCATCAGCCTCCATTCTCAAGCCAGCTGTTCACCTCACAGAATGACGTCATGCCAGCAGCCCTGACCCTGTGGTTCCTCTGACCCCCTTTCACCCGACATCATGACCCACCATTGGTTTCCTTTCCTGGTGACATCCATCAGCTCACTCCCAGGAGCGTCAGCGTCCCTATCTATAAAATGGGAAAGTAATTGCAGCCTGCAACTTCAGAGCTTCGAGTCAGGCTAATTACACAGTCACTCCCCACAGGAACAGCCACTGCTGTAGACAGGGAAAGTTAAGGTCCCAAGAGTGATACGGTTTACCGAAAATGGCTTATAGTATGCGTACGTGTGGTCCATTCTGTGTATCCTTGGGAATGTGATCTATGCCCGTGCAACAACACAAATGCTAGTGTGTACACAAGTCTTCCTACATGACCGAGTACAAGCCGCATGGGTGTATTTTGTTGTTCTTTGTTTGTTTTTGTTTTGCTGTGACGGTGTACCTGATACAAACAATTTGAAGAGGGAAGATCTATTTTGGCTCATGGTTTCAAAGTGTTCAGCCCATGGTTACGTGGCTCGGTTGCCTCAGGCAGGGCAGTCATGAGGTGGTTGGAATGTGTTACAAACGGCTTCTTACTTCCCTGTAGCCAGGAAGCAGAGAAAGCAACAGAAAGGGCCCAGGGATGAGGATATCTTTCCGGGACATGCCCCCAGCATGCTTCTACCCTCTGCCCCCAACTAGGCTGTATCTCTTAAAACCACCATGATATTATGAATCTGTCCAATCTGCTCACTAGTTCCCAGCCGAGGATCTGATCACCTCTCATTAGCTCTGCAGCAGGCAACGCTTCATTCCAAAGCATCACAGTATTGGGGCAGTGGTGTGTACATGCATGTGCCCACGTGGCTTCAGGATGAGGCTACACTCACCTGTGAATCCATATGTGGCCGCACGCGGTGGTGTCTGGGGTTGGGTGCACATGCACATGTATGTGGGGCATGCACTTGTGGATCTTCAGTGTGAATGCAGAGCAGCTGCTTCTTACATGGGTCTCCATGCCTTGTCATGGCCATGGTGCCCAGGCAGGAGACATATGTATCACATACAGGGGACTCCAAGCCCAGCATGGGGGTTCTCAGGACCTTGCTTCTCCAGATAAGAAGAAAGCAGAGGGGCTTTAGGGAGAAGGGGGAAGCCTGTCTCACTTGAAGCCACGGCAGGTGAACAAGGATGGCTGTGTTGCGTGGGTGAGATGTCTGACATTTCCTAATACCCGTGGTTGGAATCTGAAGTGTCTTCCACAGGCTCACATTTTGAACACTCAGTGCTCAGCTTGTGACCTTATTTTGAAGGTTGTGGAGCGTTTAGAACCTGGGGTCTTGGCTGGCAGGAGCAGGTGAGAGAGGCTGGCCTTTGAGGGTTCCAGTCTGTGGTCTGTGCTGCAGTGAACAAGCCTGGTTTCTGGTACCACAGACAAAGCCTCTTACCTTCCTGCCTCTCTGGATGGACTGAAGCAGCTGGAATCCGGAGCCGGAGGATTCCAAAAGCATTCTTTTCTGTTGGGCATTTTATCACAGTGATGGTAACTAAGACATCTTGTTAAGATCAATCCATGTGAGACCTGGGGCTGATCACTAACTACAGCATCTACCTCCAGCCCCATGATGCTGAGGCGTGTCTCTCACAGGAGCAAGGAGGGGACCCACATGACCCATCAACTGTGTTAACACTGAGGAAGTGATGAACTTCTGCGTCCCCATCTCAGGCAGATGGGCTTGAGGATTCAGGCTTCCCAGTTCCCCAGCACTTGTTACTGTTGGTTTCTTGTAGCTGCCTTGCTGGGTGTGAGCGTCTTTTCTAGAACTTTGCAGTTATATGTGTCCCCTTTTGAAAAATATCTCTTCAGTTCTTTTATTTGTGTTTTAATAGAGTTATTTGTATTTGGTTTGGGTTTTGGTTATTTGTAGGGTTTTTTAAACACAGTTTTGCTTTCTCTCTCTCTCTCTCTCTCTCTCTCTCTCTCTCTCTCTCTCTCTCTCTCTCTGTGTGTGTGTGTGTATTAATATTTATACCTTAACACATATGTGGAAGTCAGAAAATAGGGATTTGCTCTCTTTTCCTATGATGTGAGTCCCAGGGATTGAACTCAGATCATCAGGCTTGGTGACAAGCTCCTTTACCCACTGAACCATCTTGTTGACCCTAGTTATTTAGTTTTAAGAGTCCTTTATATATAATAGAAAGGATATAATATAAATACATATATAATATAAATAATATATAATATACAGGACTCATACATACATGTATACATATGCATATATTATATAATCACCAATCACCTCTCAACAGCCTTTCAGCAGGCAACACTACATTGCAAGCCCCTCATCCATTATATAACTTTCGAATATTTTCTCTCATTCTGTGGACTCTTTCTCTATCCTTGGCACTGGGTCTCATGAAGCCCAGGCTGGCCTTAAGTTCCTAATATTCTTGCCTCCACCTCTTGAGTGGAGATTAATAAGTATATGCTCCCATGTTTGGCTTTCTTTTCAACTCTCTTGAAGGTGTCCTTTGAGGCACAGAAATTTTTTAACAACAATTTTGGGGGGCTGGGGAGCTGGCCCAGTTGTTGAGAGCACTGGTTGCTCTTCGAGAGGACTTGGGTTCAATTCCCAGAACCCACATGGAGAGTCACAACCATCAGTAACTTCAATCTCATGGAATCCCACTCTCTTTTCGAGCCTCTAAACATGAAGACAAAACATGCATAGATAGAACATTTTTAAGTTGTTTTTTTTTTTTTTTAATTTTAGTGTGTAACATGTGTGTCTGTGTATGGGTTTGTGAACCTGTGGGAGGATGCCCTTAGAGGCCAGAACAGCGTTCAGATGCCCCTGAGCTGGAGTTACAGGCAGTTGTGAGCTGCCCAGTATGGATGCTGGGAACTGGACTTGGGTCCTCTGTGAGAGCAAAACATGCTGTCAGCTGCTGAGCTGCCTCTCCACCCTCCTATAAGAGTTCTAACTTGGATGGCAATTCCCCAACTCTTTCTTTGGCTTTTGATCTCCAAGAAAACTGCTGAACCTGAGGTCATGGGTGTTTGCTTTTTTTGTTTGTTTATTTGGTTTGGTTTTATGTTTTGTTTTGTTTTGCTTTGCTTTGCTTTGTTTTGTTTTGTTGAGAGAGGATTTCTCTGTGTAGCTCTGGCTGTCCTGGAACTCACTATGTAGACCAGGCTGGCCTGGAACTCACAGAGATCCACCTGCCTCTGCCTCCTGAGTGCTGGAATTAAAGGCATGTGCCACCACTATACTGGCTACAGAAGCTTGCTTTGCTTTTACTACATATTCTTGTAGTCTTATAGCTTTAAGGCAGAGGTGATGGCATGTGGCTTTATTCCCAGAACTTGGAAGGCAGTGATCTCT